ATGGTTATGGAGACGGTGATGACTCTGATTAACTACTACTTGGAAGGTCAGGTGCACTTAGTAAGTAGGTCAATAATGGGGATATCTCAGGTCATCATGTGAGTCATTTGGGGGAATTGACCTAAACCCTAGACCCTAAACCGTTTTACTAAGTCCACCTGACCCTCCAAGTGTGAGTCCATGTCACGGCTATGGGCGTTCACGGCAAGGCCCGAGGCCTCGTGGTTCGGTGTGTCCTCCATGTCGCCACGGTCCTCTTAGGGCCCCAAAGGGTCCATCCGAGCTGTAGTCTAAACTCTTATTATCTCCCTTAATAAGCCCCATAATACCCCCTTCTACTATCCCCTATATAACCCCTTAAAGGAGTTTACACTATAGTTCATGTAGGTATATAGCATATACCTAGTGCCCAAAAGGGTTCCCATACACCTACTTGAGGCGCAGATATACACTATGTACCTACATGGACCCTTTGCGGGGCCAAGTCCCCATTATCGTACCCAGGTTGGTTCCATGTTTAGGGCTTAGGGTCTAGGGAACTGAGGGGCCCACATGTTCAAATGCTTAGATTTCACGAGCCCTTAAGCCTGAACCTCTACAAATCAGCGTTGTTGTGATAGCCACGGTAATTCTTGGTCTGAGGTTGATTCGGAGGTTGCAGCTCTGCAGTTAATGCTATGTTCTAATATGAAATAAAGTAAAATGCAACATGATTCCTCACAGTATAGTCTATTCTATTACATTCATGTTATATTTATAAGTAGCTTTTACTAAACCCTAAGCCCTCGACCCTAAATCCTACTCCTTGAAAAGCTGCATATGCTGAAACCAGAGGGTTGCGATTTAGGGTTTTAGGGTTTAAGGGTTTAGGGTTTGCTGGGACGAAGGAATTGGTTATTGCGATTGCTGCTTCAAAGTCTGGGGCTCGAGGGGCGAAGCAGTTGCCAGCACACATCTATGCTGCCCTAAACTAACACACCCACCGAAGCGGAAAAAGACAAGTAGTAAGTACAGACCCCTGTGCCCCTTGGCCTTTTCAGGGGGCCCATAGCTTCATCCGAGATACGAACGACTATGCCTGGGGTCGACCCCTTACCTCGCCTTATGTTTCCCCGGAGCATCTTGGGCCCCAAATTTGGAGTTGAATGCTTAGGGGTCAGAACCTAACCCTCCAAACTCACAAATCTTGAGCTTTCAGCTCTAAACCCCCGAAAGCTTATAGAACTTCAGTCAACCCCTAAGCCTCTAAACCTTAAACCCTAAACCCTAAACCTCTAAACCTTTAACCCTAAACCCTAAACCCTAAACCTCTAAACCCTAAACCCTAAACCTCTAAACCTCTAAACCCTAAACGCTAAACCCTAAACCTCTAAACCTCTAAACCCTAAACCTTCAACCCCTAAACCCCTTTTTTTTTTGTCAGCCTTGACTTGGGACCCTCGTTTGCCGACTTGAACCTTTGGCGGTGGCGCCTCGGTGTAGGGTTCAGAGTTTAGGGTTTAGGGTTTAGGGCTGTGGATTCAGCGGTGAGGGCTGTGGGTTTAGGGTTTAGGGTTCAAGATTTAGGGCAGTGGGTTTGGGGGTTTAGGGTTTCTTTTGTTTGTCTTGCTTTCTTTGAAGAGTTTTCGGCTCACGGTTCAGAAGCGTGATTGCCTCGAACATAAAAAGGCGAGGGGCGCCCGAGCGCCACAAAACAATGCTTATCTGGAGGACTGTCTTTTTGAGGCTCCATGCTAGTTTAGAGGAGGCTGCTATAGAGGACTAATAACTACCAAGATCGGTTTTTGAGATTTGTTTGAGGTAAGCTATACCATAGCTACACAGAAGATCCAGGACCACAACGTTGGTAATTGTGCAGGCCTCTTCATTACAATCCCAGTAAGCCCCTAGAATTCTACCCTCTATTTTGTTTTAAAGCTGCGGTTTAAACATTGGTAAGCATTCAGGCCCCCAAACCCTAAATCCTAAACCCTAGCTCGTGAACCCTAAACCCCAAGTCCTAAACCCTAAACACTAAGCCTTAAACACAAAAACCCTAAACCCCACGCTCTAAGGCTTTTAGGCCAAATCATGCCTTAGGGGGAGATGCCAGGCCTCTGGATTTAAGGTGCAAGGGTGCAGGGCTTTTTTCCTGGGAATCCAAATAGCCCGAAGTGGAGGATACTGTTGGTATTACTATTTTGGGTTTCTACATTGGTACAAGGGATTTAGGGGTTGCATGGGGTTGAGGGCTAGTGACTACAGACTTTGGCTGGACTAACTAGGTCTTTTCCTTTGTAGTGCTGGAGCTTTACTATTTGTTTAGTACCTAAACCCCCAAAATATGCAAAATAATAGCCTTAAACCCATAATAATAGCCCTAAAGGCCATTTTTCAACATACTTTTAGGGTTCAGGTACTCCCTAGAGAACTATCGCAAGTTTCTGTAGGGCAGGCTATGGCCGTCTTTCCTTTTCGGAACCCTTCCTTAAGAAAATGAGCGTCTCTTTGAGCTACTAGGTTTAGGGTTTAGGGTTTAGGGCTTAGGGTTTAGGGCAAGGTGAACCGCATCAAGCTCGACTCGAATGTTCCTCATACTAACGTGCTAGATTCCCCACAAAAGGCCAGCCCAATTCTCTTTCAGCACGAACTTGCTGCCTAAATCCTCAACCCCACCTTTAAATGCAAACACTGGACGATTAACCCCACCCAACGCTAAACCCTAAACCAACCCCAAACCCTAACTCCTGTGCATAACTCTGTGAGAGGCACTAGGGGAGCATCATCCGCATCAGCCTTCAAGTGCTAGTCCCCCTTAAGTAGATAGAATATAGGTTTAGGGTCCCCGTACATAGATACGGGTTATGTTGGAGTTATATGGGGATAATGGAAAAGAAGATGGACACTACTATTTACGATTTCGGGTTTAGGGTTCTAGTCCCGCTTAAGTAGATGGACTATGGGGTATATTTGGATCTATAACCTAGACCCTCCTTCTACCCTCTATTAGGGCCTAAGTACCCACTATTAGGGACCATATACCCCAATTTAAGGGCACAAGGAGGGTCCTGGAAGTGACATTGGCCAAGTCCACATTCTCTCTACTTAAGGGGGACTATACGGTCAAGGGCTTAGAGCCTAGGACTCGGTTCTGCGTTTCACGCTTGGGCTGGAGGGCAGAGTGTTCGGGGTTTAGGGTTTAGGGTTGGAGGGCAGAGTGTTCGGGGTTTAGGGCTTAGTCTAGACCCCTGAACAGCCAAAAGCCCAAGAATGTGATCAGGGCTCGAGGTCTGCGGTTTGCAGCGTAGGACATTTAGCATTGGATGAAAAAGAAAGTCTGCGCGAAGTTGCGGTGTAGATACGTCTGCGATTCTGATGTCTATTATCAGCCCCTAAACCCTAAACCCTTAACCTTAGCCCTCTGTTGCCTTTGCTACTTAGCCGGGGCTTGCCACTATCGTTGTCAGCTGCATACACTCCGTTGGACAAATTGCACGTAGAGCTGTTCGCATGAAGGTTTAGGTAGATGGCTTACGGCATATACAAACATGTAGCCCCTCATTTCACCAGCTATAATCAAAACACAGCCAGCGCTAAATTGGCGATGTCTCCAATAATGGTGCCCCTGCAATACCCCCTGCAGGTACTCCAATGTGGCACCCACCCAACTTAACACCCTCTTCAAATGATTTCCCCTAAGCCTTACCCTCATCTGACAGGAAGCTCTCGAAACAACGCGTCGAAACCGGCATATGGAGGAACATGAACGTGCAGAGCTTGCTTCGAGAAGGTCCCAAACTCCTAAGACATGCCAACGAGACCAGAATGCTTAGCACCTTTACGCTCAAAACCCTTCTCCTGACACCCCGCCCTAAACTCATGGGCTCCCCTATACCCCCTCCCCAGCCTCCCCCACCCGGGCCCCGTGTCAGTTCCCTCTTAATAATTAACGATGTTTAAAGTACTAGAGCAAACCTCGGGCAAGGGGGGTTGTACAGGGAGCAGGGTTAGTAGGGAAACCCATGGTATACCTTGAGCCTTACATCCAGACAAACTGGGTTGCTGTTACGGATCCTAAACTAAGTTACTATAATTAATCAGGAACCCCCCATTATTTACTATATACCCCTATCATGGTAGCTTAGAGCCGAAACCCCTGACATCCAATATTGGGGCAACTTAACGTAAGTTCCTGAACAGCAACCCAGTAACCTTTGAACCCTGAACTCTAAACCCTTAAACCATAAACCCTTAGACCCTTACGCCTCAAAGTTTTGAGCCCTTAAAGCCTAAACCCTAGCCCTAAAACCCTAAAAAACTAAACCCTTAAACCCTAAACCCACAAGAGGGAAGGTGAAGACCGAGGCTAAAAAGGCAGCTCTATGGCCTTTGGCTCGCAGCAGCAGAACATGCCTCAGGCTTGGGTTCCGTAGGCTCAGGGCTTAAACTGCAGCAGGGTGTAGGGTTTGGGGTGGGTTTAGGGTTTAGGGTGGGTTTGGGTTTAGGGTTGAGGAGGGTTTAGGGTTTCGGGTGGGATCAGAGTTCGGGTTACGGGTTTAGAGATTAGGGAAGACAAGCAGCCCAACACTCGACATCCGCAAGTAAGGCCTTAATAGCACAACATCCTTGAGTAGACCTGATCTGGTTCTTATCTACAGTAAGTGGGTTTAGGGTTTAGGGGGGCTATGTGGCTAGGGGTGGTAATGTTGGACCCGCTTTAGTGTTGAGGTCCCCTATAATGTGTTTTCGGGCCGGCTTATTCAGGACCCAGCAATGATTTGCAAGGTCCCCTATAATGTGTTTTGATTTTGGGGCCCTTAAAAAATAGCAATGATTCATCATCTTTGTTTATTCAACATTTTAAGATCTTAGATTCAGAAACCTGCCTTTGCTTCCTTTCAGAAGTCTCAAG